ACAAGAGAGAGATAAATTCGCCCTCGTTTGGCGAAGGCAGACCACACATTTTTTCCCTGATACGGTCGTCCGCTGAGTATGGTAAGGAAGAATGATGTGAGTGGATTGGAAGAAGATGGCGATGCTCTTGGATGGTATGCCAAAGAGCGAAACAACAATGGGGCAGGAGATAAACAAGAAAAAAACTATGGTGATTGGAGGCCGTTGAGCTAGTTTTGAGAAACTAGAACATTTTAACATCGCCTTTAACAGGAGAAAATGATTGTACAACTTGATGTAATCGCCATGAAAGCGTAAGTGGCAGAAGCGAAATGTAAGTCAAATGGGGTTTTGTGACCTAAAAATGAAATGTCTTCTGCAAAACTAGATGCATTATAAAGAGGTGTGAAGTAATGGACGCTTTGAATATTTACTTAGAAGCTAGGAAACTATTGCGGAACTAGGGTCAATATTTATATAGTAATTGTAATTATATAAGGAACTTATAATTTATGCTCTCAGAAGAAAAATTATTTGGAATAATGTTAAAATGTTAAAACGGAGAATTTTAAGCAGCTTGAGGAGGAAGGAAACATTTGGAGGATTCACCTCAGCGTGGTCAAACGGGTTATATCGGAGCATATGCGGAAAATTGTTTTTTACCGACGGGTGGCTAGCGTTATTAATCTTGGTGGGCGAATAGTCATTGTGGATAAATGTTGTAAATGTCTAGCGAAGAAGGATGTTGGAGTGGTTAGGGAGGATTACGGAGCAAGTGTCGCAGATAGGAATTATTGATAATTATCTAGCTACGAGGAATGTTGGAGTAGTATCTAGCTATGACGAAGTTTGGGTTCGAGTGCCTAGCCAGGAGGAAATGTTGGACGTGCCTAGCCAGGAGGAAATTGTTTGGAGTGGCCTAGCCAGGAGGAATGTTGGAGTGTGCTTAGCCAGGAGGAATGTTGGAGTGCCTAGCCAGGAGGAATGTTGGAGGTGCCTAGCCAGGAAGGAATGTTTGGAGTGCCTAGCACAGGAGGAATGTTGGAGTGGCCTAGCCAGGAGGAAATGTTGGAGTGCGCTAGCGCAGGAGGAATGTTGGAGAGCTAGCCAGGAAGGAATGTTGGAGTGGTTCGTAGGAGGAATGTTGGAGTGTTAGCAAGGAGGAATGTAGAAGGGAGTCGAGGGAGGTGTGAGCGAGGGGTGGGAGACGCAGGCGGGTGTTGCCGAGGGAGGGAGGGGAGCAGTGGCGGGTGGCGCTATGGACGCGCGCGCAGGCAGCGCGGGCGGCGCCGCGGACGCCCGGAGCGCGCGGCGCGGGGCTGCCCGGGGCGCGGGCGGGGCGCGCGCTCGGCGCCGGCGCTCGGCGCGGCGCGCGCGCGAACTGGCGGCGGTGGCGGCGGCGGCGGCTTGCGGGCGAAGGCGGCAACGGCCTCCAAGGGGGAACGAGGGTTTGGGTGGAGGCGAGTCGGAGGGGCGGGCGGGCGGCCCTACCTGTTTGGTGGCGCCGGTGGAAGCGGAGGTGTGGCAGGCCGTTGCGCCCGGGGGCGGCGGGGGACCGGCGGCAGGGAGTGCAGGGGAGGAGGCTGGCGGACGATTGGGCGGGCAGCGGGCGCCCGCCGCGGCGCGCCGCCGCCGGCCCGCCCGCGCCCGCGAGCCCCGCCGCGCGCGCTGCCGGGGACGCTAGGTCCGCAGCAGCTGTCCGGCACGCATCAGCAGTAGCTTGGGCAGGCACGTGATGAAAGCGCGGCCGCACCCCAGGGCGCCATGCGATGCGTGCTCGGCTTCCGGTAGTGCACCGTTGAGCACCATGATGGTGATCAGAACCGGACAGCCCCACCAGCAGCATGGTTGAAGAAGCAGGTAGCTTGCCGAGCATGCGGCAAGCGCCAGCGACGTCGACGGGAATGATCTCGGAGAATGAGAAGGAGAATCATGGTCTGCGACACAGGATCGAGATGGCACAGCGCGAATCTTTCTCCGGAGTCCGCGGGCAAGGTGAGAAGACGAGCACCGACAGGTACGGATGCCGCACGCAACGGCACGAGTCAGGTTGACGTGTAGAAGAGCGTCTTTGCGGCGCAGCGTGATGTTGAGAAGAGAATGTCTGCGAAACAGGCGGGCGGCCGTGTTGCGGCGCGGCCCGGGCCTACAGCGTGCACAGCGCGCCGCGGCGCCCCGGCCACACGGCGGACGAACGGCGCCCCCGCCTACGCGGGTCTTGTCCTTACCAGGTCCTTGGCAATGGATGTTTCACAAAATGTCAGGTGTTAAAAACGTCATTAATGGAAACGATAAGCAAAAGCTGTTGATCTGTAAGAATCGACTTTCTGTAGAAAAGTGGTACATGAAATTACGATTAAAGACGCGGCGTAAACTCTCCTTTTACGGGTGTGTTTTCTTTACGGATATAACTCTACGATACAAATACATTGTTTACTCTATTTTAAATTAATTATTATTATCTAATTTAAATTAAATATTTAAAATTCACGAATGTTAAAGAGGAGACGTGTGATCTGTACTTCCCTGGACATAGTCATCAGATAAAATAAGAAAATTACACATAAACACTACAAAATTTGGTCTCTCAGAGAAAAGAAATAGGTATTACGATCGTCAAAACCCATTTTAAGAACAGTAATAATCACGATTTTGGTGAACATGTTTATTAATCGCAGGGTCCCTGTATGAAGACGATATTATTTTTTTTATATTGATATAAATAATTTCATGTGTCATGAAATAATCTTAACTCTAATTCCGATTTGCCGCGTCGCCACATCGTGACGGCCTTACGTCTAAAAGGCCTCGGCCCTGAATAAGCTCCACGGGCGCTCGGAAAACAATCGGGGGCGGGATACTGAATTCGCCGTACGCGAGCATTAACTGGCCTCTGTGCCGCATGTGGACGCGCTCTGGTTTTGCAGCGACTGCTGACGGAGTACGAACGTCTGTTTGATTCGTTAGGAATCCGCGATGTGACTCGAATGATTGTGGTCGCCAAATACTGATACGCGAGTCAAAGAACAAATGACTTCGTGAACCTAGTAGCAGAGATAATTATAAAGTGAATCTCTTATCATGAATAATGTAATTCCATACCCCGAATGAGAATTTGTGTGGACAAAAATCGCAGTTATATAGTACAATGAACAAATTCCAGGAAAAATGGCCAATGTAATAACGTCATTTTATTAATATTCATGAAATTTATTGGTTATAAGTCTAAATTAGTAATGTAGTATTAAAACCTCTAACGAAGAGACAAGTACATCTGAATATTTTACCGGCCTTTCGAAATAAAAGTTAATCATCGTATTTTTATAACAAATCAGTAATTTGTGTCGTGTCTGTGTGAAATGTGACACTAATATACAAGAGTATTTGAATACTTCATGGTACTCAAATATTATTTGCATGTGTTTTTACGAAACAATACTTTCATATTAATTTAATGAATTTGGGAAACCTTTTTCGGAAATATCGCTGCAAAGTACGTTGTTTGCCTGTATTTCTTTTAAAAATCTGTACAAGCCATTATACAGGATTTTGTTTACTTCAACAAGTAACGAATTGATTTTAACAGTATAAATAGATGTAATATTTTTTATGAATCAGAATTTCTTTATTACGACATTTAACATTTCTAGCAATATGGATTTCTTTATTTGGTTTTCTTTAATAGGAACATACACGGTTAATAAAACATATAATACTTAATGAGCTCGTACTTGTTCCTTTCATTTTTTCAATTCTCGTCGTGGAACATTACGTTATTCGTTCTAAATCAACGGATAGTAAATGCACGTTACAGTTATACGGTAAAGCACGACTGACTATGAATGTACGCGTACTCCTTTGAAAGATTGCCAATAAGTAACAGTAAAGGTGTGAGCGGTAGTATGTTTGACGCGTGGGCGTGAATTTGGGTTCTGCGTTTTTCGCAACGGCTCCTGAGCGCAGGGTCGCTGGGCACGCTGATATGGGGCGGTGTTGCGGCGGCGGCGCAGGAGTAACAGCGCCTCGTTCGAGAGGCTGCAGGAATTGAGGCCCGTGCGCGGCGCCTCCGCTCCGGGCCCGGGCGAATCATTTAGCAGCGCCACGGGGCCCCCGCCCTCGCGCCCCAGCGCTTCTCTGCCTCTCGCTCCTTCCTCCTCGTGCTTGGCTTTCCCCCGTCGCCGGCCGCCCGCACACCTCCGCCCGGGGACTTTTGAGGCCCCGGTAATGACGTCGATTGAAGCCCGGACGGGCGGGTGGCCGGAATGGGCCGTGCGGCGGCTGCGGAAGGGCGGCCGAGCGGTATGGGAGCGGGCTGGTAGGCGGTGGAGGCGGCGGCGGAGGCGGTGAAGGAGACGTGGAGGGGGAGGCGACGGAGGAGGGGGAGGCGACGGAGGAGGGGGGAGGCGACGAGAGAGGGGAGGAGAGCGGGAGGAGGGGAGGAGAACGGAGGAGGGGAGGAGACGGAGGCGGAGAAGACGGCGAGAGGGGGCGGTGAGGAGGGGGGTGGAGGCGGTCAGTGGCGACTGTTGGTTTGCCTGCGGCGCCGCGACGGGCGGTGGCGGTGGCGGTGGCGATGGCGGTTGGCGATGGCGGTGGCGATGGCGGTGGCGATGGCGGTGGCGATGGCGATAGAGGTGGCGATGGCAATGGCGGTGGCGGGCGAGGGCCAGGGCGTTATCAGGGGCTTTCCATGGCGCCGTTGCCGGCGTCTGCGGTTGCGGTGTTAAACGTTTGTGGTTCCCTAGGGTATTTGCGGAAAATACTGTCAGGCGCTGTTATAAATTTACTTATATTAATGCGATAGTGATAATCATTTTACAGGAAGTCTTTCTTCAAAGAAACGTTAATTTGATCAACATTAGATGGGAATGTCTACCGTAATAGAGTCAGGAGCACTAGTGAAATGCATAATATAGTAATTGAAAACTAAAAAACGCGCCCAAAAACAACCAATATTTTCGCGTAACACTGCTTAAATTATTTTTTAAATGTTCTTTTGATTTATCATAATGGAATTGCATATTTCATTGTATGCATTTTTGTTAACTGTTACTTAAGTATAGGCGAGTAATTTTTGGAGTTATCTAACATGATTCATCATAATCACATTCGTACAATACAACAACGCACAATGACGACTAAAAATATTTACTAATCGATATATTTTCCTTGAGTATATGAAATAGGTTTCAGTCTCTTCTAGGAGTGGTTCTAAAGTTTTTGGTGCAAAAATCAAAGAAAGACTTGGAATCTATGGCTTTATTACAAGAGGTCCCAATGCAATAGACGTGCGCGGCTCCTCTCGTCCCTTAACGTATCGATTCGATTTGAGTCTCGCAGTCGCCCCCCCCCCCAATTCAGCTGCCGACGCCCCGTCCTTTTCTTCCACGCCGCGCTGGTATTTGTTCTTTTGATTTAGTCGCGGAGGACGTGCCAAGCGAAATCTGCAGGGAAATCTTTTATGCGGCGGAAAGTTTAATGTCTCTAAGTCGGACGATATTCTGGAAAGGATTGAAATGAATATTGTTCGATTCAGTTGTGGAAGTTTGGTCGCGAATCGTAGCGCAATCTGGCTTGCAAAAACCGGACGTCGTTCGAGAGGACGCACAGTAGTTTTGGGGAGAGATGTGGGGAAATGGAACAATCTGCAAAGATTTTGCTGTACCAATGTGCAGTAGAATCCACCGTAAACTTGAGAAAGGGATAAGGATTACTTTACGTTCAATATGTGAAACAATTCATATCGTAAAAATGTAGATACACATAACGGGATTATTACTATTTCATTGCGAATTTATCATTCAGAATGTTTATCATGAAGTCAAATATTATCTATCATGATGAAATAATGTGTAGAAACTTATAGAAAAACATTATCAGTATTATATAATTAGCAGAAGAACATGACAAATGCATGTAAATATAGTTGTGGTTTGATAAAGTTATAGGTGATGAAGAGATTTTAATCCTTAAAGTTGAAAACATCAAATATGATCTATGTGGATACATCAATCGATAACTGTAATTGTATAATTTTAATGAGACTTATATGAGAGATAAAATATCTGAAAAGTGGTTTTTGGCGGAGTGTGAGCTTCTAGTACTCCCAAAACGTATGATACTGGAACTAGGTGAAAAACATGGCGGATGTTCCCTGTGAATAATATCGCGTGACGTACGAGAAAAGTTCATTGAAGGCAAGGGCAATGAATGCCGAAGTTCATAGGGAAGGCGCTGAACGAGACGGAACCCACGCATCGCGGGAAGCCCGAAAAGTTTCCCACCGCAGAGCGGCGCCGCCGAACTTTTTTGCGCAGAGGGCGTGAGCGCTCCAGCGGGAGGCGGGCACAGGGCGCGGGGGCGTGGCGGCAACAGCCGTTTGGGCGGCGCGGCGCAGGCCGGGTCTCAAGCGACTACCGCGCGGGGATGGGGGCGGCAGCAGGCGCTGGCGCTTGTTCTGGAGCGAGAACAAGATGGAGAAAGGGTACGAGACTGAGGACAAGAACGGAAACGGGAATGAACACGGGATCGGGAATGAAAACGGGAAAGGGAAATGGAAAGAGGAATGGAAAGGGGAATGGGAAGGACTGGGAACGGGAATGGGAACGGGAATGGGAACGGGAATGGGAACGGAAATGGGAACGGGAATGGGAATGGAAATGAGAACGGGAATGGAAACGGGAATGAGAACGGGAATGAGAACGGAAACGGAATCGGGAATGGGATTAGGAACGGGATTGGGAATTGGAACGGGAGCTGGAGGAAGAGCAATACATGTAGTAAGAAGGGAGAAAGCCGACAGGAAGGACAAGAGGGAGAGCGGCGAGAGGGACAGAACGAGCGTCGGCGATGCCCAAAAGATTCTGGCAAATCCATGTTGTAACGCCTCGTTTCTTCAGACGCCAGGGTCCGCAGCGGCGCGGTGTTGAGAGGGTTGTGAATCACAAAGCGCTCTCGTTCCTTCCTTCAGCTTCACAAGGAGAGAGCGAGCATCTAGACGTTTGCGAGAAAGTTGGGAAGCGGCTGTTACGTTTCTGGCACAGCCACCTTGAAGCCCTTTGTACAACTTAGGGAGCGGAAACAAAGTGTCGTCGGTGAAGGCGCGACTTGAAGAGGTTTTATGGGGGCTTGACCCGACCTCGCCTGTTTGCTCGTCTCGTAAATATCTTAAACTTAACGTGTAAATAGATTGCCTTCTTGATGCGGTGGCGTCGTAACTTACTATCTCAGAGTTCGATCTGTGGCAGGCGGTGGCTGAAGTTGAAATGTTGGTGGGAAATCGTAGTACCGTTGCCGGCTTCTTGCCATGTTGCGAGGTCTTATCTTGAACAAATGTCTAGGTATATTTCTTGTAGAATAATGTTTCTAGAGATAAATAAAATGGAGGAAAATGTTCTTTTATATACGATAAAAAGTCGTAGGTTATTATTTTCGTAACTGAAACCCAACATTCGTACGGGAAAATGGAGATATACAATGTTTCTAATGTAAAAATAATTTAAAAAATTGCGGCACATACTGTCATTGACTCGGACGTATTTTTCTTTTTATTCCGAAATCAATAAAAGTTAATCTAGAATCTTCGTTAACATGAACATTAATTTGGGTTTAATTCTTGCGCAATTGTCAAGTTGAATTCGAGTATTATTAAGAAAATTATAAAACTGAACGATGTAATTTTGGTAAATTACTAAAATCTTGAAATTAATTTTACTGCCTAAAAATATTGAGAAGTCAAATAAAAAAATTGTATATAATTTTAAAACTAATTAAAATCACAACAATTACACATTGTAAAACTTTATTTTAGAGTGTAATTTTGTTGTTGTGATGCACAGAATTAATATTCTTTGGTGATATCTGATAACATATTGTGATGTGTTTGTACGATTTTGGTGAATGTAAGAAAAATATTTTACACTACGATTGCATAATGCAAATATTATATCCCTTGTTTGAAGAATGCCTTGTCTCGTACTTTGACAGGCGTAGATTAAGTGTTTCGTGCAAATTCTACAAATACGTATAAATACTAATATGGTTTTCGTAATGTACGTAACGTTATGATAAAGTGACATTATATTATGTATATTCATTTCAGTATATTCATTTCTACGCGTTATGTTTCGGTGCCGAAATGAAAGTGACTTCAGTGTTTTACTCGGTCATTTTTAGCTTTGTACGAAATCGCAATGAAAATTCTTCTCTGGACGCTGCCAAAAGCGATGAAGATCAAACATTTGAAGATCGCATCTATGGTAACAAATTAAGTTAGGTTATATTAGTACTGAGCACGAAACGCGATGGCATTAGAACACAGTAAATAATTTATTTCTCACTACATAGTCTCTTCACATTACAATTCAACACATCAGAACGTTCTCGAAAATGTGCAAAATAAACAAATCGCTTCACACGCATAACAAACCAGAGAAAGTTCTGAAAAGTGACGCTAGGAGCGCGGTTGTCAAACTGGATGTATTCTGCATCAAAAAATGAAGCTTGCGTCATTTTTTCACACAAATTACATCCAGTCTGGTCTGTTTCTTTTCCATTCTGGCGCAAAATGATGAAAAAATGATCGTGGAAAACAGACTTTACAAAAGTGTTGCGATGCAACCCGCAAAACACACGTGTATTAAGGGATTGCGTTGTATCGTTGCTTATAGGGACGAGGCGAAGCGGGCCACAGAGTGGACGTGGCATGGCGTGCCCACCGGGGCGAAGTAGTGAGCGCCAGGTTGGAATCGAATGGGCTGAACGGAATCGAACGGATAGGGGTGGAGAGGAAGGGGTATTGCTAAAATTATGTCTATTTTACACCTTAGATATAATTCATGCGTTGTAGTGTGTATAATAAATGATTGTAATAAGTACGGTTAACGTTGCTTCCACTAAAATTACAGTGTTATTAAAATTAAGTAGTCACAAAGTTAGACAAATATCACTACATTGATTTTATTTTATCAATGATCAAAGAATATTAATTAATACTGACTACTACGTGAATAAGCATCCCATGCCATCAAATATCTAACTCAGGGCTGCATAAGTGGAGGTATTTTGCGGTCGTTTCTTGCCTCGCGCCAGAGCATCTCTGCTGACAATCGACATGGCCCGCTGCTTGTCAAGTCAGATTGAGAGCAGGGTAGTGAACACACTGCTCACATTGCTGATAGACGGGAAAGTGGGGGTAAAAGAGATACTCTATACTCAAGTTTAAACATACTCGCACTTGAAGGTCACGAGTTCGAAAGAGAAAGGAGAGGCACTGTCATCCAATCGGGAGCAGTCTTACGACTTTAAAAAATGTTTGGCAATGGAATTTACGATTGGAAAACAATGCCCCCCCTTGTCTCATTCCTGCTCGTGACCTTGAAGTGCTACTATGTATACATTAATGATTAGTGAAGGAAAGTGACACGAGGGCCACTTCAGCAGGCGCTCTGGGGCAGTTTGGTCTAAGTCTTCTATTTGGGTAGACAAGGTCTAACCGACTTGTGTCAGCCGCATTAACTCATTCGTGTCATTAAAAACAATAGTACTGAGTTCTTTGACCCTTAGGGCAAATCAAACATGGAAACCGCTGTATAGTGTAGTTATCTTTAAAATTATCAAAGTGATACATAAGCATTTAGTTAAATGTATTATGAAAATATTGTTTAAAAGTTGCTTAAGTGTACACTAATAAAATAATGCTTGGAAGTATCAAATAATGTGAGTGTGAAGCTAATAAATAATACAAGTGCACATCAGAAAATCAGTTGAGTTACCTCTACGTGAATTTAAACATTTTTTTCATTTCAATGGATATCTACTTTGTAACATCGAAGAAACGTACAAAGAAAGTTACCTAAAATATAATTATTTAAATAGTGTACGACCATTGGACATCCGGATTTGTAGGGTAGTCGCCAGTCGTCGTGCAGCTTGTGTGATCTTAGAATGAAACCTTCTGCACGATACGATCGCTTCTGTCCCGGGACTAAATACACTAGTTTTTAAACAATTAAAAAAATAGCTAGGTAATTAGATAGCAAAAAGGATCTAAGAAATGTAAAGATTTATCAAGGAATAATATTATATTATTATTTTACTAATGTATGCATTAAATACAAATATAGGCAAACAATACTTTAGACTAATTAGTAATAATGAATGAGGAGAGTTATTTGTGGTACTATTTTTTTACTAAGGCACTACTGTACTCTCAAAGAATTATTTTCGAAAATTTAATTGCGTCAATTACGAAGCAACAAAAGGCTATTTGGAGAGAAAGAGAGAGAAAAAGGTGTTCCACTAAAAAAGCTGAAAGCAGCCGGTAGCGAGAGAGCAAAAGAGGCGCACCGTGGTGCTGACGTCAGCGAGAAAAGCGTTGGCCAAGTGGGGTGTACACATTCAAAAGGTGACACGTTCTCTTGGCAAAAACTTGGTTTTCCAGTTGTTACTTAGAATTTTATTTCCGGGAAAAAATGCGAAATGTCTTAGAATAGACTCTACATTAAGGTACTCGTCTACCTCAAAACGACGTTTTTCTGTGAAAAATTGGAATTAAATTTTTTTTATTGTGCATTTAGATGTGGAAATTTAAATGCTTACGACTGTTTTACAGTTGGTTAGTTTTCAGTTTATCGGTTCCTTTCCAAATGTGCGGCCGCATGCCATGTCTCACGACCATTTGTAGTTTAGATAGTCGCTAAAAATGTAAGAAAAACTAGATTTCTTCTGATATATATATATATATATATATATATATATATATATATATATATATATATATATATTAAAAGTGCAATTTATAGTAAGGTTAAGTCCTTGTCCTATGTTGTCACATTAAAAGCACAATATTCATTTGGGACAAATTCTCTACCGTGGTAAGGGATTCAGTGTTCACGGACCATTTTAATGCTGAAGAATCTTAATCAGTCCTTACCAGAGAGTTACGTTTTCTCTTCTTTGTCCCGACTTGAAACATAACTCTACTAATTTTAAAATTATCTTCAAAGTTATTTTTTATTTAATAGCAGAAAGTTAATTTTTGTCCTTTAAATTTTGTGCTCATTTTTATAGACAATGTTTATTATCGATAATAAATTGCGCTATTAATTGAAATTGCACCAGTTATTTTAAGAAGTAAAGTTAATTCAAATCCTTGGAATTTACAAGTCCTTTGTCAATCTTCAAAATTTAGATTCAGACACTAAAGTATAATACACATTACGATCTTAAAAAAAAATCACAAAAAAGTGTTTAACTGTTCTTGAGGTATGATGTCATAAATGACACTGTTGGGAGGAGAAAGGGCATATGCAGTTAAATAATTAATATAAATTTAAAAAAAAATGTCTTCGATTCTCAAAATTTCGACTTAAGAAAGCAATTAACCCGTAGTGGAAAAATGCGTTGTAATCCGGACCGATTTTCCACCTTTTCTAGGTAATAACGTAATGAATACCTTTACTTAATTATCAGCCCGAACGGAATAGAAGACGTATTTATAATTTAGTTTCTTTCCTTTTAAATTGGAATCTAGTAATGGAAATTTTCATTTGATCAGCCATAAAACGAGACTCAATGCAATTTTAATCGTTACATTAATTATCATTAATTGGTTACTATGTCCATGTCCACATTTGTGCAATTTATACTTCTTTTACTAACACCCTTTCCATTCACTTCTTAAGGTACCAAAATTAAATATTTCATAACATTTTTACAAACACCACGTTGAAGAATTGAAAATGAGAGTTCTTTCTGACCTTTAAATCTCTGAATATACCTAATGGGAAAATATCACCAAGAGCTCTGATTCAGTTGCACTTCCTCGATGTTTTCCAGGTAATACATTAACTTATCGAGCAAATTTATTAATAATATTTCTTTCTGATTACATAATATATTATTTTATAAATAACTACAGTGGGATAATAACGAGAAATTAATTAAGAACGGATAATAAAATCCAAAACATTTTTCTCCTGTATTTCATTAAACTGCCAAAATAAAAATACAACAAATATTTTATCAATAAAAATAGTTAACTTTATCAACCACCACTTCATTTTCTTTTGTTTTCTCGAGCGCGGAGCAACCTTGACAATTATATTTTTCCCGCCCTTTTTCCGCCAGAATCGACTTGAAGCACATCAACCAGAAGTACGACGACGACCGGTGACGCGAAATCCGTGGATCGACCTGCGCGAGTACTACACCGAGCGTTGGAGTGGGACATCCTGAGCGTGCCGGCGGAGCGCCACACCAAAGTTGCTATGCCGTGCTGCGCCGAGCCCTACGCCGGGTGAGTTGCGAGGCCGCCGCGAGGCACGCAGGCGGGCGGGCGGACGCGCGGGAGACCGGTCGCCGGCAGCGGTGAGTACCGAGCACCACCGGTGAGGGGGCGAACGGTTCAAACCGGGACACGCCCACCCCCACTCTTTTCCAATGAAGATTGAATTTTAAAATATGTAGGCGCAAATTTACATTTTTCCAATTTTCTCTAATTTCAATGATATAGGTACCTCGTCTACCTGCCGTTTTAATTGTGGCGTTTTATCTCAATTTAAACATATTTACTCGTAGGATGTCCTTAACAGTAACCCGTTATTAACCAAATT